CTCACCCTGTCAACAGTCTTTTCTGACAGAAACGATTGATCTCCAAGCTTTGTTTTTACCAATCTGGTAGTGAGTCCTAGACTGTGGCGAGCATTGATCAGCATCTTGAGGGTTTGCCTTGTTGTGGGTTCATTGTCACTCTTGTAGGTGATTGTTGAATACCACCACAGTTGATTGAAATTCATCAATTAGGCGAAATTGGCCTTTGCTTCCTAATGGTACTATGTACAACATGAATGAACTGCTTGTTTTGTGAGCTTTGGCTTCACTGACCAAGCGTTTGGCGTTCAACAGTTCCATCTTCTTGTTGCGATTGAGGATCTTGGTGTGGACCTTTAGCTTAGACCCACTGCCTGCAACTCTACTCCATTCACCAAGACTTTGTCTACATCCATTTGGGCTCAATTGAAGTTCACATTCAAGGTCTTCATCCTTCTTTTCCTCTTCTCTCTGGCCTTCTACCTCCATACCCTGGCGCAAAGAACCCCATAGCCTCTGGCGGCGCTGGCTCATAGCTGAAGATTGTGGTTGAAGGAATGACTGCATCATCATCATCATAGAATTGCTCACCAAGTTCCTCCTTTTTCATCATGCTCTCACAATATTCAGGCGTTAACCATCCACTTCATCTTTTCACCAAAGTGGTTCTCATCAACTCTGGCGATTCTTAGACTTCTGGAATGACTGTGGGATCCACGAATCTTGAAGTCAGTAAGCTTCCAACTAGCAGTCCATGCTGGTTGAATCTCCAACCTGATTCCTTTTCCAAAGCTTCAGGCGCTTGCGCCCCCAAGCAGCTTTCATCTTCATCTCGAATGACTCTAATGCGGCCTTGAACTTCACGTCACCATTCTCCAACATTTGCTCTCTGCTGTTGATTCCCCAACCATGCTCCATCAACCTTGCATAACAAAGTATGGGTTGACTCACCTTAGAACTGAAGATCAGGTTCTATTTGAGAAGAACTTTCTTGCGCATCAAGGTCACGCGATGAATTTCAACACCTTTCGCACCTGCTGTGGGGATACGGTTTCCTTGTGCATCTTGTAGCTTGGTCTTTGTGCTGAGTTACAAGTCTCCTTCCCCATGATCTGCCATACTCACCAGGAATAATGCTACATCAGCTCGTCAAAAATGATGGCCACATCCTCGCAACTCTCCTAATCATGGATTCACAATGTGAGATATGAACCTCCTCAATTTCTTAGAATTCTGACTCATCATCATCTCCACTGTAGAAGTGAAGCACTGGAACTCCTTGGTCTTCTAGCTCATCATCCTTCTCTCGCACGTCAAAGATGATTGGCTCACTGTTCTCATTCTTCTGACCACTGGTTTGGTCTCTGCTGAGCTACCTTTTTGGCTCACATTGGCATGCTGCTGACCAACTGTATGAGTCGTCACTGATGCTCCTCCTGAAGATGAATGGGCTTGATCACTTGCTGTCGAATATTGTTCCTCCAACCGTCTTTAGCAAGATGCCCTGCCTTTCCACAAGTGTAACATGTTGCCGCACCGTTGCCTTTTGGGTCTGTACCTTTACCTTTGCTGTTGATCATTCTTGCCCTTCTTGCCTGTTCCTTTGGCATTTTGGACTCGCCTCCATTGGCATAGGCCCTTGGCTGAGATCTTTCCCATTGCAATACTTGTTCTCCCAAAGTTGAGTATAGAACATTGTCGCTAATTGTCAAGTTCAAGTATGATTTGAGTTGTGCGCCCACACATCTGAAAAGAATAGCAGATTTGAACCCTTCCTGAATTGTAGTTCCTGACCTGACTGTCTCATCAAATACTTCTTCAAGCTTCAAGAGTTGAGGTTGTAGTGCACTGTTCATTGAAAACGCTGGCCACGCAGTGGCTGCTCCCAAGAGTGCCAAGCCTCTTGCCGTTGAAGTTTGTTTCAAAGCTTCATTCAGAGCCTTCCAGGCATCAAATCCATTGGGGTCTTCCACAGCTTTCACCAATTGCAGTGCCCTTCCTCTCATCAATGAAGCTATTCATCCATGGGGCTTGATGCGCCTGGTCCTCTCTGCATCATCAGCCAACTCCATGTCAAATTTGTCACTTGGCTTCTCGTGAATTTCCTTCAAGTCTCTAGCCCTCATCAACTGCGCTCAAATACTTCTCAAAGACCCATGACCACTCTCTGAGTGCATTGATCTCTTCTTCTTGTGACTTGCGGTCAAAGATGTTGGGCTGTGCTATCAATTTTGACCAATCTGTGGTTGATGACTTCTTGTCCTCAACTGCTTTCTTCAATGCTAGCGTACTCTGTGTGTGCTATTGTTTGATGGATTTCTATGATCTCCTCCATCTTCTTACTAATGTCTTTGTGACACAATGTACTGGGTACAGTGTTGCTCACAACAATCATTCACCAGTCCAGCGAGTCCAGCTGTTTGGGTTCCAACGGCCCCAAATCTATGGCTCGAAATCGCACCCAAGATCTCAGTGACCTAGGGGCTTTTCACGGAGAGCTCCAGAGGGGTTACCTCCTTCTCAGCTCCGCTACCATACGCACTTTTTCCTGTCTGACAAGAGGGGCTGCGCAGTGGTGTCATGCACACTCATGATGCAAATGATGTCACGCATCTGTACAATGATCTATATGGAAAATGGTTCGCAATATTCAGTTTGGTGTGGTTGTGCATTTCCACTCAGCAAGCCTGGCAAAGTTCCTGCCAAAGCATCCTGAGGAAGCAATTGTCTATAAAGAGCATTAACTTCTACATGCTGGCTATGGCCAAAATAGGTCTGGGTCGCAGGCCTGCGCCGATGCATTCCAACTTTGCAGCAAGGGATTCTCGTTGAACCTCTCAGAATCAATTGCACCAGCATATGAGCAGGCATGTTCTGAGTGCTGTAAATGTGGTACTGCAAAAAACTGCCAAGCAGCCATTGGCCAGGAGAATCTGCGAAGTTCCCACCTGAGAATTTAATTAAAGCCGCCTCGAATTTCATTGTTTCGACACAAACAATTTCACAAATCCCCTAGCCTATACATATACACAAAAATATATGTTTAACTGAGTACCATACCGAGAGGTGGCTGGAAGATTAGATGTATCAAGTCAGATGTATCAAGGGATATTGAAAAAGAAAGAAGCCACAGTTGGCAGGACAGCAAAGCCTCTCTTGCTGTAGCAGTGTCCTCTCAACTACACTGAGCATCCACAATCACCACACCCTGCACCCTGCGCCTGGGTTCGACATCATAGGATCGTCGTTCCTTGCAATGGATATCTACTTGAGTGGGTGATGGATGATCGGGCAGAAGCAACTCCAAAGATTGCTACGCACCTCGATGGAATTTCTGGGATGCCCTGGCCAGAACTGGTTGGGCAAAGGGTCATTCTTATATAGTGATTAGTGCCTTGCCCGGAAGCATTGACAACACGTTACAAGCCTGAGCGTGCCCTTGACCATCATTTTGGTTTTGAATCATGTCACTGTCAAGCATCGTTGTTTCGCGGTCTAACGTTGTTGCAAGTAAAGTGACGCAGAACTTGACCAAGCCAAACCGAAGGCCCGTCTGTTCAAATAGCAACATACTAGCACCCTGAAGTTTTGAGCTTGAGGTCTACAGAACCACCCAAGGGATAGACCAATCTCATACCATCTGAGAGTTGCTGTCCTCCACATGGACCGGAGCTTCCAAACTAAAGTGCTCGAAAATGCAAAAGAGAAGAAAGTGCGAACACTTCCGAGCAGCCTGGGAGCATCTGCCCGCAAAGGACATCAACCTGTCCCGTTGTTGCAAGTCTAATCCTTTTCTATTGCCGGGCTGAAAGACCTTCAGCTGAGCATGATTCATCACTTGGAAAGCATTGGTAACCACTCCGCATAAATTCACTGGCAACAGTAGCTGGCATGTTTGTCTGGCTTCCAAGCATGTCTAACATGTGCTTATGGCCTCTAGCTCTCCAGGCGATCAAGTACAGCGAGAGTGCATTGCTGCAATCAGTTACTGTATACATCTGTCTATATATATATATATAGATCTCTCAAACATTCAACAATGAACAAGGAACAAGTAAACGGAAGTGCCCTCTGCATATGTGTGGCCCGGAGAATCCCCTTGAAGGATAAACTCTATAGACTCTAGAGGTATGCTGATATGGATCTAGTGGTCGCCATCAACCTGATGCTGTACAGTTGTACGTTAGGTCTTGCATAGCTTGGCAAACGGCTTGAGCAATCACACCGACCACAAGTTTCCTGGATTCAAATAAACCAGTTGGGTCTCTCGCTATGCCAACATACTTGCCATGTGAAGTTCAACCGGTTCCCAAGTCTGAACGGCCTGTGCTCTTGTACAGCTTCATAAACAAGGTGCAACTACAGAAGACTACGACATCACCGATTCTCACCACACGCCACAATCGCAAATGACCGTCAATCACAACATCACAAATCAGTACAAAGGTTGCTTGAATCAGCTTGGACCACACAGTACACAAATGCGAAAGATTCTCACACTCGCATAGCTTCGATCCCAAGCTGGCTCATGTGGCTTGTACGCGGCATTGCCAGAATATGAGTGTCAAACGATATGTAATTGCTATCCTGATGTTTAGACTCTTAGATACTGCGCCTAAAATGAGAACCTATGTTTCCAGACAGACTACAGTAGCCTGGTTCACACAAAAACAAAGAAACAAAACGCAACTGCAAAGTTCACGCACGGATCGTCTCCAACACGGTTGCCACAGGGGGTACCACCTGCAGCTATCTCGTCTCAAGCGTCACGACACAGGTGTGGTCTGCCACAATTATTTACTTTGGTTTGTACGTGAAAGATGTAGAAACCATGCCAGAATCGATAAAACAGAAGCTGTTTGAAATCCTTGGAACTTTTCTGGACTTTTGGAGCCAGACTCGCACACAGGCTCCGAAAATTTGCTTTGCAGCTAGCTTGCTTGACAGCAAATCCTTCTCGGCCAAAAGGAACACATTGAAAGCTATAGAGTTGACAAAAAGACACATGATGAAGCCATAAAGCCCCAGTCTTCCTTAAGGCCGGATTGGACAGAAACGTGCCAGTCTGTTCTCTACAAAAAAATTGACCAGCAATTCTGTGGAACAAAGCTCCACCCAGCAAGTCTGACCAAAGTAATCACAACAACCTTTTGCATCTGTTCACACAAAGGGCATGCAGCAGTCACACAACATCTCATGTGTCCCTTGAACCTCTCTTAGGATGAATTGGTCGGGTCGGCAATGGATGCCTCATTGTCGGGGTAACAAATCGGCTTCATGGTGTGAAGTGGAACAGTAAGCCAGGCAATGCCAGTCGATGCCATGGCCGAAAGGAGGCCTTCCAGCAATACATGCATACAAATGCAGGGTTCTGCAGGTTTACATGTACAGCGTTCAACTGCAACCCAAATCAGCAAAAACTCACGGACTGAATCCCAAATCCTAAAGCAAATAAAACGTGAAACAACGTGAACTGTCACATATCCTTCTCAAGAGCACACTCGGCGCATATCACAAGCATCATCCCAATGGCTCAGGCACATGGACTCGGAGGGCTGGGCACAGCGCCCAATGCTAGACTCGGCCAAAGGCATGTATAAACCTTAAACGGAAAACAGGTGGCCCGAGAACTCAATGTGAGCCAAGCCCCCGACGGAACCATTCAGACTGGGAAGCAAAGGGGGTGCTACTCAAGCTGGGCGACAAGCTGGGCGACAAGTGCAAACAATTCTTTGCCAGCCAGGCAACCGTTTATCCAAGCTGGGCAAAGCATGTAGAGGACATGGGGGGTAGCCAAAGGAGTCGACAGCCATCCAGACCCGGAGACGTGCATCATTCTAATCCCGAGTACCTATTAAAAAGCGGACCCAGATAAATAAAAATCATGTCGGATCCCCCTAAAATGCGGCTTATATGTGTTTTTAAATTGCCGCCATTTCAGGCCGCTACCAAACTACAAACATGGCCGATTTTGGAGGAGTTTTTCTTATTAGGTTCCAAGAACAACCGTAACTGCCCACCTCTGTCCGTCCCGTCTATCCACCATGATACGCCGCGCTTACACCAGCAGGCTTTCCTTCCCCCAATGGCACGGACTCACGCAAACGCACTTGCCACCGAGTTCATGCAACACCGCATGGCACAGCGACATCACCTTTCGAAAGCTTTAGCTGTTAGTCTACTGAAGAATCACTGTTCTATTGAAGGTTTTTGTAGGGAAAAGGAAGAGCCTTCGATCTGGAGTGTTTTTGCATTTTTGATACGAGTTTAATAAAGGATTTTATGAAATTTTCATGGACTACTTTTTGGTTTTGAAACTCTTTCCAGGTGACCCTATTTTGGACCACCCCGATTTCAGGGACCCCCTATTTTAAAAAATGCAACCGAGGTTTCCTTATTAGGGGGGGGCACGTTTTTTAATAGGTGGACCGGATTAAGTTGGAGATGGTTAGTTTACATGTGGAAGAGCAAGCAGCCCTTCAATAACGGATGACAGATAAACACATACAACACGAAGCTTGAAAACACACATATGAGATGGGCAAACAAAAGGTGCTCACCAAAACTCTGACATTCAGTGCGGGTTCCTTTTGGCCGCTGCGTGACCTACGAGGCTGGAAGGGTTCATTGTGGGTTACTTGTTGGCAACTGCAAATGGCACTCCGGCCTCATGCTCCAGCAATGAGTTCGCCATGCTGATTCCGCCTCAGAGCTCGCTCCTTGGCACCTTGGCGCAACAAGTTTAAGGAAATACCCCCTTGTTTTCTGCGCATGAAATTGGGACACGTTGACGCGGCTGAAGCACGATCTCTAGATTGGGTTGGCTGTGTCCGGCGTGGTGCACCATCAAAGGAGTCGTAAAGCCTTGGCTTGAGCACTACAATAAGAGCAGGCCGAAAGTGGCCCGAACAAGAACAAAATGCCCCGACCAGATCGAACAATATGATTTTGACGAATTGTGGTGGCCCAAAGAAAATCCACTTGTGACTTGCGAGGTCAAAGACTTGTGTTTCAGAGTGCTCTGACGAGGTTGAAACGGTGCACAGGGTGAGATTTGGAACAATTAGCGGAAGAAGGTTGACACCTCTTCCCCTCACCATTACATAAAAAGGTCAGCATACCCACCTATCTGTTGGGCAGGATAAATAAAGTGTCTGGTCTGATCAAACCAGGCCACCACAGGCTGTGGATTTACATCTATGTTGCACACATCGGGCATGCTTTAGATGTGCGTGAGCCTTTTGGGATCCAACTTCATAACATTGAGGCTCAGCCCAGCAGCAGACACTGGCAGGCCCCAACCCCCTCACCATTACATAGAAAGGTCCACATACCCACCTACTGCCCTGTTGAGCAAGGTAAAGTGTCTGGCCATAAACTTGCCCAACAGGGCACTTGGTCAGCAAAGGTTCACACACATCAAAAAACATTTCAGATCTGTGCAATTTAGATCTAAATCCACAGCCTGGTATGTGGGCCTTTCTACGCAATGGTCATCTAAAGCATTTCGGGTGTCTGCAACTTATGCCAGTGTGTTGGCAATCCCGGTGACTTTCCTTGAAGCCTTGAGCCCTGCTGACGCCCTGACGCCTTGAAGCCTTGAGTCCTTACTGACGCCCTGACGCCTTGAAACCCTGCTGGAGCCATGATGCCTTGAAACCTAGTGACGGCCTGAAGCCTTGAAGACCTGAAGCCTAGTGACGACCTGAAGCCTTGAAGACCTGAAGCCTAATGAAGACCTGAAGCCAGTGACGACCTGAAGCCTTGAAGACCTGAAGCGTGGTGACGACCTGAAGCCTTGAAGACCTGAAGCCTGGCGACGACCTGAAGCCTTGAAGACCTGAAGCCTCTTCGTGTCTTCGTGTCTTCGCGTGTCTTCGTGTCTTCGTGTCTTGGGGTCTTCGGGTCTTCGTGTTTTCATATCCTCGCATCTTCGTGTCTTCATGTCTTCGCATCTTCGCGTCATCGAGTCTTCTTGTCTTCGTGTCTTCATATCTGCGCGTCTTCGTGTCTTCATATCTTCGCGTCTTCATGTCTTTGGGTCTTCGCGTCTTCGAGTCTTCGTGTCTTCTTGTCTTCGTGTCTTTGGGTCTTCGTGTCTTCGCATGTCTTCGCGTGTCTTTGGGCCTTCGTGTCTTCGCGTGTCTTCGCTCCAAAGTCGCAACCCGCTTCTGCCAACGCAATCGTTGATACTATATTTGTGTTTTTCTAATTGTGTTTACACCGCATATGTTTTGAAATCATGATTCAATCACGCTGAAAACATATGCTTTCTTCACGTGATACTATTTGTCTCCATTGTTGCTCGCCGTTTCATTTGTTTAATCAGCAACATGAACGTATTTTTCAAGCCCTAACTGTCTGCATCATATCAATTACGCAAGCATAGACCCTAAATAGCAAAAACATTTCTGTGGGGCAGCGCCCGCAGCACCCTCGAGCGCAAGGGACACGTCGCAGCAGCGACACCCTGCAGCAGCACCAGCAGCCAAGCTCCCGAGCCAGCACCCCAGCTCACAAGCGCACACACAGAGGCACCCTGCAACGGCACCAAGCACCCAAGTGCACACGCGGCAAACTTAGTGGTACCAGCATCCAAGCTCCCAAGTGCACACAGCAGCGGCGCCAGCACCCAAACTTCCAAGCGCACACACCAGCAGCACCCTGCAGGGGCACCAGCGCCAAGCTCCCAAGCGCACACAGCACGAGCACCCTGCAGCGGCACAAGCACCCAGGCTCGAAAACGCACGCACGCAGCTTTTCCTGAACTTGAAGTAAGAACCCCAATAGCTCACGCTGTCTGTGGAAAAACTCACACGGCAACGCAAAACTCTCTATAAAATCACCTGGGTGTATCCCCCCAAGCACGAAACCATATATTGCTTTTAGAGCATAGAGGGAATGTTCGAAGGTCAATAAACATACTTGAGGCCAAGGGGGGGGGCGAAAGCTAGCGCTCCAGAATGGGAAAGTGGAGGGCAGCGAGGTAGGAAAAAACACGGCGCTCTTTTTGGAGGCAGGGGTGAAGAGTCCTTTATATGTGGCTCTTTGCCCGGATCCTCCTGCGAGAGAAGAGAAGAGAGACGGAAAGACGAGAGACAGAGAGGAGAGAGAGAGAGAGGAGAGAGAGATGAGAGAGGAGAGAGAGAGAGAGAGATGAGAGAGATGAGAGAGATGAGAGAGATGAGAGAGATGAGAGAGATGAGAGAGATGAGAGAGAGAGAGAGACAGTGAGACAGTGAGAGTGAGAGTGAGAGTGAGCGAGTGCGGCCGCAAGATACGCAACGCTAACCGCATGCCAAAGAGCGACGACAGGACGGAGTCGAACTTACGAAGAGGGAGGAGGGAGGGGGAGTGGGAGGAAGTGGGAGGAAGACAAGGAGGAGGAGGAGAGGGGAAGTGGGGTGGGGAGAGGGGAGGGGGGGGGTCTTCGACCTGAAAAATCAGGGGTTAGGATTTGCACCCGGTCGAAAGAAACCTTGCTATCGCAAGAGTAACTCCAGCTAGCTTCGCTAGCTTTCGTGATATCTCTATATACAGTATATGTATGTTCCGCCATTCTTTCTGGCACATCTTCCGGCGTTCTCTATTCCTTCCCGGCATAACTTCTAATTTTCTCTCTTCGACACATCTTCTGACATCTCTCTCACATTGGCGTACTTTCGTTTTTGCATTCTATCTGACATTCTTTCTGGCATACCTTCTGACTTTCCAACTGGCACATCTTCTGACATCTTTCTGGCGCTCTACCTGGCATATCTTCTCGCGCGCGCGCGCGCGGACATTCTATCTGGACCAGACCGCGCTGGCACTCCCTGTAGTGTTCGGGCCCGCGTGTGCCCCAGACCACTGTTCGGGCCTGCGTGCGCCCAGCAGTGCTCCCTACAGTGCGCGGGTTCCTCGCTCGCTGTGAAATGGGGATGGGTTGGCGGAGGATGAGGATGAGGACAAGGATGAGGAGTGGCACCTTTCATAGAATCTGAAGATAATAACAAAAACAAGAATGAGAAAAAGAATGGATTCAAACCATGAGTGCATCAGCCACGTAACGCTTCAAACCGCTTTGATTCTTCATAGATCAGACCAGAATGCACACCTGCAGCATCTTTCTGATGGATAGGGTTGGCTGCCAAGTCTTTTCATTGCCCAACATGAGCTTGTTGCGGAAGATCTACTGCAAGCGTTAGTTTTTCTTTAACCCCAAGCGAAAGTCAAGTCGCACTGCAAAAACACAAGCCACACCGCACCAATTGATTGTTTGCCCTTGCCTTGCCTTTTGTCATTCCAAGGTTTCTCCGAGTAGTGCTGCGAGGATCGTCTGCTGTCATCATCAGGGTTATGTTCTCCTCTTCAAGTCAGGCATGGGATGGCACTGGCGCATGAAATATCTTAAATTTAAACACGTCTTGAAGAATGCGTATGCACGTTGTGAACGCGTCCCCAGACACAAGGGAAACCGGTGAGGAAGCGCAGCCAGACCAGACACACTGAATTTTGATCGCTGTAGGATCGGGGATATAAGTTTGATAGGAAACCAACTGAGGCAATTTCTGCACAGACTGAACTCACATAGAAACCACGCTTTGTGGCATTCAAGGCTGATGAACGAAACCAAGACGACAGACAGAAAGGCACATCAACGATCGAGCGAGCCTTGAAATGCATATATAAAGGGAAATCAAACGGTAGTGTTGCACTGCAAATCCAAGACACCCTAGATGTCCAGGAATGACGTTTCCTGCCTCGAGATCGTGTGCTTTGGGCCCTGGTTGGTGCCAGTTGATAGAATGGAACGCCGACCAAAGATAGGTTCAAAAAACAAACTTTAAATTGGCTAGTTTCGCTTGACAACCGTCAGCATCATCCAGTATAAACCTCACGTAGGCTCGGTGCAAAACGACTTGTTTTGGAGCCTCACAAGCTACCAACTAGCGTAGAGCCCGGCACGGGCTGTCATAGTTACTAAGCGAACAGAACAAACAAAAGGTGGGCAAGTTTGCACTCAGCAGGTCACGTAAGCAGGGAATACGTCAGTCAATGCGTGTGTGTGTGTGTCCACTCCTGTTTCCAAGGACACTACTCTAGCTATTTCTATTCCTATGACTTTACGATCCTTGTACAGCACCAGCAGGGGAGTGGTGCGCGGTCTTGGAGTCACCACTCAACGAAGACACTCCATGCACCGCGGTGAAATCCAGAAGGGACGCCTTCCGGACGTACCTGCGCCAGTTCTGAACTGTTTAAATTGAAGTGTTAAACCATTCTGTTCTCGCTGACAGTGCACCTTCCTTTAGTCAAGGTCTAATCTGCAGTAACTCGAAAGGGCTAATGCACTCCGCGAAGAAGCCTGACATCGCGCTCTACGGAGCAACCTTCTCAAGTGTGTTTCCGCAGCTTCTGTGTGATCCCTGCGGGGCGCCGTTACTGCAAGAACCTTTTCACTCCTCACCGCAGGAGTAAGTGTTCCTGAAGATTTTCTGAAGTTTACTCGACTGAAATTTCCTGTTTGAAATCAGCTTGATTGGAATGTCTCACCTGACACACGTGAAGTGTTACTGCAGAGTTCACTGAAATTTCCACTGAAATATACTGCAGAGTTCGACTGCATAAGTTTCACACCGGAGAAGTCTTTCCAACTTTTAATTTTTCACTGCGCCGATTTCGGCTTCTCGGCCAGCGCCTCCGGGCCCGTGCCATTCGCTCGTAAGAGCATTTCACCCCACCCTTCACCCCCTGCACCTTTTCTTGTTTTTCTTTGCTTTTGCTTTTTCGTTTGTTCCTTCCTTCAGGCTTTTTAAGTTTTCTCCAGGCTTGTTTAGCCCGCCCCCCGCACCCCCTGCACCTTTCTCTTCTTTCCTTGCCTTTTTCGTTTGTCTTGTTCTTTTCTTCAGGCTGGTTAGGTGGCATCCAGGCTCGTTTAGTCAATGCACGCCCGAACACCCCTTCACCCCCCTGGCAGGAAACAGGAGAGAGAAAAAGAAAAAGAAAAAGAAAAAGAACACTCGCCGCGACGCTGCGGCCACGGAGAAACAAAGCTGATCCACTTGCTCAGGCGTCGCTTCGATGCAGCTCGTTATGACAAAAGGACATTCAAAGAACACTGCGCCGCGGCGCTGCAGCCAAGGAGAAAAAGACGATCCGCCAGCAGAGTTACCTTTCCACTTCGTAAAACACACGTTCTTCACCTTCCTTGAGTCCTCTTTTCGACGTCCTGATCTTCCACTATTTGACATATATGTATTTTCTGATCCGGTCTAGTTGCGCCGTGCTCGGCTTCTTGTGTGTGTCCACTCCTGTTTCCAAGGACACTACTCTAGCTATTTCTATTCCTATGACTTTACGATCCTTGTACAGCACCAGCAGGGGAGTGGTGCGCGGTCTTGGAGTCACCACTCAACGAAGACACTCCATGCACCGCGGTGAAATCCAGAAGGGACGCCTTCCGGACGTACCTGCGCCAGTTCTGAACTGTTTAAATTGAAGTGTTAAACCATTCTGTTCTCGCTGACAGTGCACCTTCCTTTAGTCAAGGTCTAATCTGCAGTAACTCTAAAGGCTAATGCACTCCGCGAAGAAGCCTGACATCGCGCTCTACGGAGCAACCTTCTCAAGTGTGTGTGTGTGCCCCTTGTAATCACAGGGATCCATTCGGATTGCGCTTTTGTTCTTTTTCTTTTGTTCAGCAGGGGGACACGGCACCAGATTGCAGACCGTGTCTAACAAAGCTATGCAATCTGGTGGGATATCCAGCTTGGCCAGCTGGACGTACCTGCAAATTTTAATCTTTTGGTCGAGCGCTAATGCATCTGCAGTCGCGCACGGACTGTCGTCACCTTGTCGCGTTTCCGCACTTCGAGCTTGTGGGCTTTGGAGGTTCCTTCAAAAGTTCTTCCTAGGCGGGCGTGTGGCATGTGGCCTTCGAGTCAGTATGGATTTCTATAAGTGTGTCTCTCCTAGTGAGAGCCCAGGGTGGCCCCGCAGAGTGGCCTCTGTGGACCCGTCGAACGGGCGTTAGTCTTTATCTTCCCCGCTCGGAGATGTACGTGCCCAGAGCGGGCGAAGTAGGCTTAAGCCAAAGTTATTCGCCAAGACTTGTTGAACTATTGAATTCCAAGCTGGCTCATGCCTTTACGCGACCACAGCGGTCTAAGCAGCCAGCCACTTTGGCAGGGCACAAGGTGAACATAGCGGTCAATTCTTTTTTGCGGCTCGTTGGAACCTGTCCGGCCCTTAGAGTGATGAGTTCCTCCCCTCCCATTCCCGCCATGTCCCCCTCACCCGCTGGCTTGGCGCGGATGGAGGGCATCCCTACAGTGGCTCAACCTGTACTACATCGTGAGATTCTTCATGCGCACGCCGCACGCCTCTTTGGACCTCACCTCTCCCCTCCCTTCTTGGAGAGAGTTACCTGTCCTCATCTTCAAGTACAACTTCGTGGTTTGGATTCCGCCATTTGACAGGAGATGCAGGTCGCTCACACTGCTCTGCACTACACACACGAGTTGCTGACCACCTTTGGTTTGATCCATACTTTAGATTTTGACACGGATCAATTGGAAGCTGAACTACGTGGTTTCACTTCTTTTCGAGGCCATCGCATCCCCCAACCTGTCCCCCGACCAGATGCCCGTCCTCCCTCCTCTTCGACGACGACTACCTCCACACGGGCTACGACCTTTACATGGCTTCCGTCCTTCGCTCTGCAACAGGATCCCAGCCTATTTTGACGACCTCTGCTACCAGACCACCTCGCGGCCCCTAAGAAGAAGCCCTATCCGAAACTACGGATGAGGAGGACGATTTGTTCGTACCCGATGAAGACGATGAGGCGGACGATGATGCCATGGGCGTCGATCAACTTGGTTGATGGTGAAAACGTGGAAATTCTCCGGGGCCGTTAGGGGGGGCATGAGCAATAACAACCGATAAAGGGGTCGGCGCGAATCTTCGCCTAGCAATTGAAGAAGGCGAGGACCCTGCCGACAGCGTGGGAGTAGTTTTTTGCCCTGATGCATTAGGTGAAGTACAGGCAACAACTATAGTGGCCGACCAGCACATAGAATATGGCCGGAGCATTTGGTTGCAGTTAGAATATGGCATTTTCATTAACGACAGCACAGTTAGAATAAACATTCTAAGTGCAATGACCGACCACACATAACTCAGCTCTTTTCCCACCCAAAGACGCCGGAGATGAAGGCTCATGCATATTTACTGGTTGCTCTAATTCTTATGCGGCGGCTCTGCAGCAATAGCCTCCCGCACTTTGGACAGCTGGTTCTTCGCCAGTCTGTCTCCCTTGAGGCAAGTGTGATTGGATTGGCGCACGCCGCATACATCCTCAGTGTGGTGTGCACATTCTATGTGGATGTGTGGATATTCTATCTGCATGTGGCATATGCTATCTGAATATGTTGCACATCTCTCTTGAGGCAAGTGTGATTGGATTGGCACACGCCGCATACATCCTCAGTGTGCTGTGCACATTCTATGTGGATGTGTGGATATTCTATCAGAGTGTGGAATACGCTATTTGGATATGTTGCCCATCTCCTTTGAGGCAAGTGTGATTGGATTGGCACAAGCCGCATACA